TTTTTTTTTTTTTTTTTTTGTACCTCCTTAATATAAGTTCTTAGTCATGGGTGATTATAAGAGTTATTTAGAGGCTATTGTGAGTTTCAACTATGTTAAAGAAAATTTTTTGTGAAAGATCAAGTGAGAGTTTTCGTGAGAAATTAGGGGTTCATAGAAAAAATTGGGATTGAGATTTTAATATTGTAACTCTTTCTCAATAATAGATTTTTCTTTCCATCTCCATGCCTTTTCCCTCATTTGGAAGGGTTTTCCAAGTTAAATTAGGCTTTCCTCTTTTATATTATTTTACTTTGTTATTTAATCCATTTGCAAAATTTTATAGTTATGTTATTAATCAATTGGTCTTGGTGATAGTAAAATACCAACAACAATATCAAAGCTACGAGATAGGGATTTATCCCTAACAAAAGATTCTAATAGCTTTATTCATCCATTTATTGGAGTACAAACTCAAAATCTGCAACATGCCTAAGTGGATTTGCAGAGACAGAAGGAAGTTTGACCAGGAATCAACTCTTTGCAAAATCCACCCAAAGGAAATTTATTGTCGAGACAATACTGGTTGCAATCCTTGAACTGGGAACATGGCCCCTGCTCGATGAGCCGTTCCTTACCTGCAACACCCATAATTCCCCCTGCAACAGTACAAAACCATTTATATAATTAGTCTAAATAGTTTTCTTTATTGAAATGCCTAGAAGGTACTTTCGTATAAATTAAAATAATTCCAACAACATTAATTAGAGTTATATGTTTACAATAAATAGTGTAATATTAAACGAATGACTCTACATATTTGTTCAATTTTGGTCGAACATTAAAATAGCATGTACTAGGTAAAATATATCAAACAAAATCTGAAACTTTTAATCCCATCAAAGAAAGAATCATAGAGATTAATTAGAGGTAATTTCATATTATTTGGAATCTTTGATCAATTTCTTAAAGATTGTGATGAGTCAATGTCGGTGGATGGTGTTTACTTTGTGATGCTGAATTCTAAAAACTAGCGAGAGATTCTCCACTATTCTTTGATCCTTCTTATACGGACCAAAGTGGTAGTGTAGAAACGGGCAGAAAAGTGATGCGTCTAGAATCTTGAGATCATAACTGGATTCAGGTACCATTAATCTGATGGCCTCTTTCTTGATCTTTTGTATAGGTAAAAATTTTAATAAAGATTTTAGAGAAAAATTGTACCTGAAGTCAAAAGTAAAACCAAACATAGCATTCCCATGAAGAAGGGTTTAGCAAATGTTGCAATATTTTTTGCACTAGCCATCTCTCAAAATCTCAGTTCTTCGTTTTTTTGGTTAATGAACAATTGTGATTTGAGTCTACATTTTCTCCACTCTTATACTTGATTAGGTCCTCTACATTTGTATGTTCCTTTTTGAAACGGTCAGCAACATTCAATGGTTTTTGTATATTTGGCAGGATAATCCATGTGGATGTAATAGCAATCGGTAAGTGTTCCCACTTTGATATTGTTGCCTTATATATATATATAAACTCCTAGCCATTATACTTTTTGGTTATATGTAAAAATTTAGTTTTTGAACTTTGAATTTTGAATAAATTTAGTTGTTAAACTATTTTTATCACTTTTTTAATTCGTTAATTATCAAAAATACCCATTTTTGTCGTTTTATTAGTCTTGTCTGTTAAGTTGCCTACCTAATTCGCATTTAATTTCCTTTGATAACATGAATGAGCATAAAACAAAAGTTTAAGAACTAAAACTATGCAACAAATATTAGTTGAGGAATAGAAAAATGAGCACAAAACAAAAGCTTAGGGACAAAAAAAATGCCAATTGTATAGCTTTAATGGATAAAATTGATGGAAAGACAAAAAAAATGCATTTTTCATAGTTAACAGGTGAAAACATTATAAAAATAGTTCAAAGACTAAAATTGTTCAAGATTAAAACTTGGCAAAAATGTGATATAAGGACCCAAACTTGCACAAAATTCACAATTTCAGACTCAAACTTCAATTACGCTCAATTAAGATCCCAAATTACATGAAATTCTCAAATAAGGTTCTAATTGGATGGAATATTCTCTTG